GGTTTGGAGGTGCCCAGATGAGGCCCAGCTGTGAAGCAGTGCAAGCTGCTGTGGGGCCTTGGGCCTTCTTTTGGAAGTTCTGGGTCTCTCTGACCCAGCTGCAGTTTGTTAGGTAATTTTCAGATTGCCAAGGGCCAGGCCTTTCATATGCAAAAGCCTCTATGCACAGCTTGGGTGGGTTTGGGTCTCAGGGGATCAACAGGGTGGAGCAAGCAGCTATGGCTGCTCTTCAGTCCTACCCTAAGAGGCCCCGAGTCTCAGTGTCCCGGTAATCACTGCAAGCACCTCTGAGAGAAAGCCGCCCTTGAGTTCTGCCCGATGTCAGACAGTCCACCTTCTCCCCGTATGAGTCTGGGTCCCCAGAGACTCGCCTGGAACTGGAGTTCAGAGCAGTCGGGAGCTTGAGACTCCCTCCCTATTGAAAAAGACAACTGTGTCCTCAGTTGCCAGCCCTTTCCGCGTGCGCCTCCATACCTCTGCACTTTTACTCCCGCACCTTCTCTGAATCTCAGTGTTTTTTTTTCTTTCCTTCTAGTTGTAGAATTTCCACTCAGTCAGTCTTCCTGTGGTTCTGGATGATGTCCGTTTTGTCTTTTAGTTGTGTTTTTGAAGTGGCTGTGCGAGGCAGCAATTTCCTGTGTTTACCTATGCCGCCATCTTGGTTTCTCCTGGATCTGTCCTCTTTCATTTCTTATTTTGCTTATTTGGGTCCTCTCTCTTTGCTTCTTGGTGAGCCTGGCTAGAGGTTCATCAGTTTTGTTTATTCTTTCAAAGAACCAGCTCTTGGTTTTGTTGATCTTTTGTATTTTTGTTTGTTTTTTTGTTTCTATGTCATTTATTTCCACTCTGATCTTAATTTCCTTCCTTCTGTTTATGCTGGGCTTTTCTTGTTGCTCTCTTTCTAACTCTTTGAGTTGTAGGGTTAGATAATTTATTAAAAGTTTTTCTTGTTTTTTGAGGTAGGCATGTAGAGCTATGAAGTTCCCTCTCAAGACTGCTTTCACTGTGTCCCATAGATTTTGCATTGTTGTGTTTTCATTGTCGTTTGTTGCGATGATGCTTTTTATTCATACCCACATGCTCCAGGGAAATCCAGTTAAGTGGAGTCATCTAGATTTCCCCTGCCCTGCCTCTTTTCACCTTTATATCTTTAGGTCATTTACTGTGCCCTTTCCCCCTTCTAATAGTTGGATTGATTAGTTCAGTCCACTTCTGCTTACCTGATTAATGTTTCTCATCCATTGCCCTGAAGTTGAATAGCTACATGGAATAACGTGCCTTGCATACTTCTATCCCACTTCCCCTTTGCTCATCAATGTCCAGCTTTTTTGCCTTCCTCCTGGTCTTTCATTATTATCAACATCATCATTGTTGTTACTATTTGTAGAGTGGAGAGAATCTTATCATAATTAATAGGTGCCAAAATATTAAATATTAGCACACTCTGGGAAGCATGTGTACTATACTATTTTGTAATAATTTTATGAAAGCCATTTGGGTAGATAGACTGCTTTAATAGAACAATCACTTTAACATATTTTTTCTTTCACAGTGTTTATGAGTAAGATTTTGGTGCTAGCTTGCTTTTCAGGAACTGGCACATTTATATAGTTAATTTCTCACTATATTATTCTTTCCTTTAGAATTTGACTTAGTATAAATTAGTTCGACTAGCTTAACCAAGTTCTTATTTGCAATCTAATTATTTTGTAAAGTTGGCAGTGAGATTAAGATTATTTAATTCAGTTTTCAGTGATAAGATGTTATAGTTTAGAAGTGCGGAGTGTTCATTGATAATACTCTTACTTTTGAGCATTTTTGTTACATCTGTATTTAACAAAACAAACAAACAAACAAAAAACTTCTGGGGCATCCTGTGAGATAGGAAGCCATAAACTAATTATATACATCTTACTGCTGCCTTTAGAGGCAGCCATTATCCAATACAGCAACATAAGGTTGTTAGGTTTAAACAGCATGGGTTAAGCATGCTGGCCTTGCTTAGTAGAGGCTCCTTCCTTTTTTCTGTGACTGAAATAACAATCTGTGTCCAAAATAGAGAAGAGAATAATTTTTATAAAAATTGCTTTCTCTACAAACTTTGTAAGTTTAAGTGCAGATAGTGGGGCACCAGTTCCTGAACAATTGCTAGAGTACTGGTAACAAAAAACAAACAAACAAAAGAGGGAATAGTCATCTTTAAACTTTGAATTCAACTAGTAATTATGTTTAAATTAGGATGCAGGCCTAGTTTTAGCTTGGCAATTGGATTGTGATACACTGTACTCTTTTACAAAAAGTATACTTAACATTCTTTTTGGCTATAGAAGTAATGTTCAGTGTTTTAAAAATTAAAATGGCAGAAAAGACTGCCTTTCTTCTCTTCAAGCCAACTCCCTAGAACCAAGTGCCATTAAGTTTGTTTTTAATTACTGTTTTAACTTAAAAACAGACTTTTCTGTTCTCATATTTATTATCGCTTAAACATCTTTGACTTTCACATCTGAATGATGGGGAAATTAGCATGCTTATACCGTATTTTAAGCATCCAATCACCCACCCTCTCCTTCTAGGATTTCTTGTTACGTATTTTTAGTTTTAGTCTTTGGCTTCAAAGAAAATACTAAAAAGCTGTTTCTTGACATATTTGTAGTATCTCTCTATCTTCACTCCCTTTTATCATAGGTGAGGAATTTAGGGTACCTATCCTTAATTTGGTCTTTTCTTTCCTCTCTCAGCTCTCTTTTAAAATTAGTCATGCTATAATTTCATTTTTACTTTGTGTTTGTGTTTCTTTGCTTTTTATATAAAGCAATTCTCTCTTTAGATAATTATATATAGTCATTTTGAAATTTGAAAACCAAAAATTGTGATTCATTCATTCTATAAATATTGATCCTTTAATACTTAAGTATCTCTGGGTTCTGAACTTGCTCCTCTGTTCTCACTACACAGATTCCCAGGAGATCTCCTTCGGTCTCACAATTTTAAATTTCATCTATATGCTGACTCCCAGTTCACATTTCTAGCCTGACTTCTCCTCCTCAAGCCTCCCATCTGCATATCCAACTGCTTCCTTGATATTCCTACTCAGATGTCTAATTGATATCTCAAATTGTATATGTCCAAAAGGAGATCCTGATATTCATCCCTTTCTCTCTCCAACTTTTCCCACAAAGTACTCCATATCTATTAATGGCAATTTCTTTCTTCTATTTGTTCAGGGCCGAAACCCTTTAAGTTTCTGCTCTCCCACTCTTTTAAAATTCACACCTACATCTGGTTCATTGACAAATGTTTTCTGACTTATATTCAAGGTATTTAAAGAATTTGACACTATTCTTCATATCCTCTGCTACTGTTCTGGTACAAGCTGCCATTGCTTGGATTATAGCAATAGCTATATAATTTTTGTGTCATCTGCTATTTTGGATTATTTTATTTATTCATATAGCTAACTGAGTTGACAGAATTAATTCAGTGCAACAAGTGTTTATTAAATGTCTACCATGAACTAATGCTGGATAGTCAGATCATTAAACACTGTCTCTGCCCTTGAAGAGAATTGGATCATGAGAACAAATAATTACAATGCATTGTAATACATAGAGTGAGGAAGTGTATGTAAGATTCACAAGTTAAAAGTCAGCATGGCTTGAGCATATATTGGTTATATCGAAGAAACCAAATGATATCCCTTAAAGCCCAATTAAAAAGTATTTTCAGCCTGGCCAGTGTGGCTCAGTGGTTGAACATTGACCCATGATCCAGGAGATCATGGTTCCATTCCCTGTCAGGGCACATACCCGGGTTTCGGGCTTGATCTCCAGTAGGTGGCATGCAGGAGGCAGCTGGTCGATGATTCTCTCTCATCATTGATGTTCCTGTCTCTCCCTCTCCGCTCCTCTCTCTGAAATCAATAAAAATATATTTTAAAGAAATATATTTTCCCCAGCATTTATATGTCAGTACAGACTTTTATACTTGCAGAAAAAAAGAAGTGTTTTTGGAACTCCAAGAAATGACTAGAAGTCTACTGATTTGTTGAGTTTTGTTGTGTTAGTCAGCTGTTTTAAGGAAGAATTATTAGAGAGGTTATTAGAGACTTCTGAATACATGTAGTTACTATAGGAGATCTGCTTGGAGTTTTTGTTAGTTTAAACGTACAAAAGAAAAAGACCTGTGGTGAAGATACTCTTTCTAAGACTCTCAAAATAAAAATAAGTACAAACGTAATACAAGTTCATTATAAAAATTTAAAAATATAGAAACACACAGAGTATTTTACGTTCTATCATTTGCTTTTTCTACCTCATGTGTCATGGTCTTCTTTACAGTTTAGTATGTCTAGAGCTATTTCATTTTTTAAAATGTATGATATTTCATTTTATGTCTGTAATCTAGTTTAAGCAAACTCTGCTGATGGACATTGTTTCCAGTTTTTCCATCATATCTATTACTTTGTTGGATGTGTTTATTTATATATCTTTATGCATTTGTAGAAGTATATATATGAAATAATCCCTAGCTTTGAAATTGTTGGATGGAATCATTTGTATTTTAAGTTATAAAAAAAAAGTTATGATTTATATTCTTATCACAGAAATATATGAGAATACCCGTTTTCCTACATGCTCACCAATGTTGGATATTAGCACACTCTTTAGTTTTTGCTAGTGTAATAACGAAAAAACTAATATCTAATATTATTTCATTAATTAAAAGAAGATTTAAATATCTTTTCAAATTTTGAACAGTTTCATGTCTTTAACCCTGTTCTTGCTATTTCTCCTCACTTGGAATATGTTCTTCTAACATTTTTCTCTGAACCTTTACCATTTTTCAAGCTATGTCAAAATCTGTGGGGTTTTTTTTCTTCCATTATTGGATTTCTCAGTAACCTCACCTAAAATGATTTCTCCCTTCTAACATATTTAATGTTTCATTTTCCACTTGTCACATTTTTATTACTCCTAATACATATTGTTTTCTTTTTCTAGAATTTCCAGATTCACGGGATGAATAAACCTTAGTGGAAAGAGAAGCATAAACCCATCTTCTTTCACTATGGAGGCAGGTTTGGCAGATGGAGAACCTGACCGAATTTCGGTGAGTGGTTCAAAGATAGCATAATAAGGTACTATCATCTACAGCTATGAAGTGTTTAAGTTATGATTTTATTTTAAAAATGTATTTCAAACAAGCTTTAAAAAACAATACTTTAACTCCTCTGTTGATATGAAAGTTACAGATAGTTTAAATTCTTTTGGAGCACAACCTAGTCAATTTTCTGATTTTTTTGCCCCATCTCCTCCCTTTTTTCCCTTTCTAGTGGTATAGTGTAAAATATACTGATGTCATAGTTTGTGTTTCTGTTTTCCTCAAAACTTTCTGCCTTAGGGAAGTCAAGAGAATTATACTACATTGAGGAAATTAAATGCCTCCAAATCTCACATCATGTGAACTTATGAGCAGGCAGAGGGAGTAAAACAGTTAAAATAATTAAGAATTAAGAGTAGCTGCCACGTATATTCTTTCTATAAAAGTCTGAAGATTTAATAAACATTGCTGCCTTGTGATTGTGATTGAATTGTATTCTGAAATAAAATTAGTAGGAATAGTGGTTAAGTATACCTTACCAATAAGTAAAAAATAAAATCCACCAGGAGGGTATATTAAATGATGATTTGTCATTGTACAAAAAAAATGTTGTCCCATGATAATTTCATTTTCAATTCTCCTGCAGCATTTTGACAGATCCCATTAAATATTGATTTATACACTCTTTATTAGGAATGTTTCTATTACCTAAAGTAAGGGTGGTAACTATATAAACTGTCAGTTTGGGAGCTCTGATTTGTTAGGTGGAAGATTCTTTGACAAATTTGTATTGTTGGAATAATGTGAAGGTCAAATTGTCTATCTTTCACATTGCTATGGAGTTGAGAGTCACTAGTATATTGAGAGGCTTGTAAATTTTAACTTGGTGAATGTCCTTTGTTCAGGCTCAAATGTAGGACAGTCTAATGATTGACAGCAAAATGCAATTTTGCTTACCTGTATTAATTTGGTCCCAACCTTTCTTGAATTTCTACTTCAAACTTGTTTACTTTCTTAAGTGGTCAAAAAATAGTTAAACTTTAAAATGATGACTTGTTAATAGAGAATAAAATGGACATGGAAAAAGCTTGATTTGTGAAGGTAATTGTCATGATGCTTATAAATGGAAAACTGATGGTAAGTTATTTTATTTTCACTATAATTTCAGAAACAAAGTTAAAATTAAGGGTCCTGTCTTAAAATATGGTGTATACTTTTCCGTAAGTAGCATCTTATTTAAAGCTAATGGTCTTTCATAAGTCATTTTAGTTGAAGTATTTTAAATCTTTTAGTGATAATAAAAATGCTAGAAAAGCAACAGTAGCTGTTTTCTAAGTCTGTACTTTGTCAGACTATCCTCATAACAGCCGTTAAAGGTAGATATTTGTCTGTCCTCACTTTTGTAGGTGGGCAAATAGATCAGGGAAGTTTATTATGTTCCCTAAGAACTCATAGCTTAACCGGTGGAACTATCTGTCTCTGAATACTTTACTTTGCCACGAGGGTATTCACTACATATCTGTCTTTCTGAATAGAATTGCTTTAAATTTATTGTTACCTGTTAAAATATGTATCTAAGTAGGTAGTATTAAATTCTATAGCTGAATACCTGTAGTATATTAATGAAGTTTTAACCATTTTTATGCTAAATTCTGTGCTGTTGAGAGGTTGGAGCAAGTTATTTAAAAAGCAGTGAGAGCAATTTTTTATATTTGTTCATTAAGTTTCTTCAGGGAATCGAACCAATGACCTCTTGGTTCATGGGTCGATGCTCAACCATTGAGCCATGCCGGGCAATATTTCTAGTTTTTAAAAATGTATTCATTATTCTAGTTACCTATAGTTGAATTTTTGTTTTAGTGTTGTTAGTCTTAGGTGGTAAATATTGAAAAATATGGATTGAATCTCTTTATATGTGGTACTAAATATACTAAAGAACACAATATACATTTAATATGTCTTAAAACATTTTGTAAAAGTCCAGAATTTATATCACTTTAGAAATAAACCACTAAGAAATGCTTAAAGTATAGGAGTCAACTTTCTATTAATAAATTGAGGTAGACTAAACTGAAATATCCTTTTAGATTAAAAAAAATTGAATATGTTCCTTAACTTAAGGAAAGTCATTAAATGTTTGAATATTTTATATATTATTTCTCTTACCAGAGGAAACTGCTTTATAAGCTATAGTAGAGGTCAAAATTTTTTGTTGTATTAAAATTGATTATATAAATGATTTTTTAAAAATATGTATTTTTATTGATTTCAGAGAGGAAGGGAGAGGGAGAGATAGAAACATCAATGCATGCTCCCCCACTAGGGGTCAAGCCCGCAACCCCAGCATGTGCCCTGATGGGAAATGAACCATGATCTCCTGGTTCATAAGTCCACACTCAACCACTGAGCCACTCCAGCTGGGCCTCCTATTTGCTTTTAATTTTTCCTTTCAATATATTGAGGAAATGAAGTAGTCTGTCCTGTAGAGTTTCCCACAATCTGGATTTTTCCCATGGTGATTGTTTAATGTGTTCTTCAGCCAGTTATCTTTATTGCAAATTGGTCATTCAGATTAGACACTTGCTCAGATTCAGGTTCGCTTTTTTTTTTTTTTTTTTTTTTTTTTACAATAATACTTTATTTATGGTGTGTGTGTATTATCATCAGGAGACATAATTAGTCTGTCTCTCTTCTTGTGATAATAGCAGCCCTTGATGACCATTGCCTAGATCTGTTCATTCAAGAGGGATATAAATGAATATTATAACTGGCTTAGAAAAATGGGAGCTGGAGAGAATGACTGACTAGCCTCTTCCTTAAAGCAAGTAAACCAACCAGCCTACATTAGGTTAGGTATTTTGTCTTTCCATCATTTTACATTTAACCTTCTAAAGGGAGACATTTAATAAAATGATAAAACAATTTGGTAGGGATGATTTATGCTATATTAACATCTGAAAGTTACAAGTTAGTAGTATTTAAATATTTGTAATTTAAACTAACCAAGTGGGAAAATATTGCTCAATATTTCCTATTGTATGAGTATTTAATTCTGTCTTTTATCTTCATTTTTTTCGACTTGTTAGAGGTACTCTTGTTCTTCTTAGAGGCTTGAGTAATGTAAAAAATATGATGGGACTCTTTAATACATTTGGGGAATTGGGTTGGAGAAAGAGTTAGTTTTTTAAAAAGTAAAAGAAATAACCATTGACACAGTACATCAGCAGAATTGTAAGCTAGAATTTTTTTCTGTTTCCATTATGCTTGGAGGTGGTCTCAAATTCTGTTCCCAGGACTATGGAACTCCTTCAGAACCTTTCATAGAATCCGTGAGGCCCAAATTATTTTTGTAGTAATACGATGGTATTTGTTGTTAACTGCCTTTTTTCTCATTCTCTCATGAGTGTAGAGTGTACTTTTTCAGAGCTGTATGAGATATGATGATGTCATTGCTGTGCTGAGTAATGGATGTGTGCTTGCGTATTCTTGTTTTCAGATTTTCCTAGTTTAATTTTTTTTCTAGGCAGTGTTTTTTTCTTTATATAATAAACTTAATTTTTTAGAATAGTTTTAGTAAATTCTCACTTAACATCATTGATAGCTTCCATGACTTTAAGCAAAATGATGTATAACAAAACCAGTTTTACCATAGGCTAATTGATACAAACAAGAATTAAGTTCCTAAGGCATCTCATCAACATTATTTCAAGACAAAGTTGCTATATACCTTGTCTCCAGTTTTTCCTGTTACTACCTTATTAGCCTATATTTGATATAATTAATGACTCCATATTGAAATATTATTAACTGAAGTTCATACTTTTCCCAGCTTGCCTTAGCTGTTACCTAATATTCTTTTTCTGTCCTAGGATCCCATCTAGGATAGCACATTATATTTAGTCAGCATGCTTCCTTAGGGCCCCTTGGCTGTGATAGTTTTTTTTGATGACCTTGATGGTGTTAAGAAATACTTATCAGAAAGGGAGTGGACTGACTCTTCTTGGGGGGGAAAGGGGTGTGGAGGATCCGGGAAGAGACTGGACAAAAATCGTGCACCTATGGGTGAGGACAGTGGGGGGTTGGGGGGGAGGGCGGAGGGTGGGGTGGGAACCGGGTGGAGGGGAGCTATGGGGGGAAAAAAAGAGGAACAACTGTAATAATCTGAACAATAAAGATTTAATTAAAAAAATAAATAAATATTAAAAAGAAAAAAAAATACTGATCAGATATTTTTTGCAATGTTCCTCAATTGGGATTTGTTCGATGTTTTTCTCATGATTAGACTGGGCTTATGGGTTCTTGGGAGGATACCACAAAGATAAATACCATTTTATCACATTATTATCAAGAGTATACTATCAACATGACTTACCATCTTTGATGTTGACCTTGATAGTAAATAGATGAGTCAGTGAATTTCACATATAGCAAATATAAATAGGTATAATCCATATAAATAACATTTCTTTGGAGTCCTCAGTACTTTCTAGGAGTATAAAGGAATCTGGAAACACAATAGTTTGAGAATTGCTTGTTTAAATCTTCAGCAACCAACACTTAGAAGAATAATTGTTAAGAAAAGAGAGACCCAGAAGGTGATGGGGGTGGAATGAGGGAGTGGTGACCAAGATAAAATTTGCCTGTTTCATAACTGAACTGAGCATTAAGACATGATCTATACCTTCAAGGAATTTTGTTGTTTTTATTATTTTCTTTCTTCATGTTGACATTTAACAGCTATCTGTTGAATGCCGACTTATTTTGTCAGATTCATGTCATCTACAAATAATTTTTTTCTTTTTTTAAAATCCCTACACAGCTGAGTCTTTGGTTTTGTGTATGCATGTTTGTGCCGCGCCAGCACAGCCAAGGGTGAACCTGATTTGGGACGGCTGACAGGCTTAGAAAAGACAGACAAGAGAATGAAAGCTGGGTCTCGGTGGGATGCTGCTTCTCTGAGAGACAGCGACAGTGCCCACAGGCCGTGTCTTTATTTTATAGCAGATGCC